GTTAGCAGCAGTGTCAGAATCTTTCTCCCTTCATCCCACTATCCTGTTTCCTCTACATACTGCCACTTAATTGTGTATTTTAAAATTGTCATATTTGTGTTGTGATTTTTGTGGCTTCCAGCTTGCTTTCTCTGAGGTAGTTAATCGACTGTGTTTATTTTGTCCTTTAGTAAAACAGAACCTGTAACTAAAGACATTCTAATAGCCTCTTCCACCAGAGTTAGACCAAATGGTAACTGTGCTGGGAAGGACTTTTCTGACTTCAGTCAAATAGCCTGGAGAACATAATATGCTCTCTCTCCTTTTTACTCTTTGGAAAACTACCTTAATATTTTTTGTCCTAAAAAACCACTGTGGTTTTAATCACTTTTATAGGAATGCCAGCCAGCCCCTGTCCTTGACAGAAGTAGCCTCACATCATCATACCTTCTTTCTCTCATAAACTGAAAAATATTCTCCATGGTACTGTGAGTTGTGATCTAATACACTGACTCTAAAAAGTTGTTTTCTGGGAACTGGTTTAAAAAAAAAAAAAAAGACAAGAATGAGAAAGGAAGACTGAGGTTTAGTATCCTAGGATAACTTCTAACAATAATTGAGCCTTTAATTATTATTATATTTATTTGATTCAATTATTATATAGCTCTCAAGTCCCCAGGGTCAAGAAAGATCTTCAGGTTAGCATCTTTAATCAGGAATGAGGATTACTGCAAGTAGTGTAATAAACAATCATGTCAAGAAAAGGACTTCTGTCTTAAATTAACCAAAATGAGAGATATTGATTCATCTAAATTCCAAAGATATTTTTAATATCAGAAAAAAGTCAATGAGAGATAATGATGAAATAATTTCACTGAAAAATCCTATGTGAAATAGCTTTCTTTATATTCATATTCAGCAATATTTATGGAGCACATTTGACCTAGCAGGTCCCATGGTAGGCACTGGGGATACAGACATGGCTCTTACCCTCATGGAGGGAAAGTCATCACATCAGGAGACCCATGAAAGTAAAAGGAGTGTGAAGCTGGGGAGAACAGAAGACACGGTGGTGGTGGTAGTGGTTTAGTTGCTAAGTCGTGTCCAACTCTTGAGACCAAATGAACTGTAGCCTGCCAAGCTCCTCTGTCCATGGGATTTCCCAGACAAGAATACTGGCGTGGCAGCACTGTTTATAATAGCGAGGACATGGAAGCAACCTAGATGCCCATCAGCAGACGAATGGATAAGGAAGCTGTGGTACATATACACTATGGAATATTACTCAGACATTAAAAAGAATTCATTTGAATCAGTTCTAATGAGATGGATGAAACTGGAGCCCATTATACACAGTGAAGTAAGCCAGAAAGATAAACAACAATACAGCATACTAACACATATATATGGAATTTAGAAAGATGGTAACGATAACCCTAAATGCAAGACAGAAAAAGAGACACAGATGTATAGAACAGACTTTTGGACTCCATGGAAGAAGGCAAGGGTGGGATGATCTGAGAGAACAGCATCGAAACATGTGTATGATCAAGTGTGAAACAGATCACCAGCCCAGGCTGGATGCATGAGACAAGTGCTCGGGGCTGGTACACTGGGAAGACCTGGAGGGAGGTGGGTGGGAGGGGGGTTCAGGATGGGGAACACATGTAAATCCATGGCTGATTCATGTCAATGTATGGCAAAAACCACTACAATATTACAACTAATAAAAATAAATGAAAAAAAAAAATTTCTGGCGTGGATTGCCATTTCCTTCTCCAGATCTTCCTGACCCCAGGTTTGAACCCACATCTCCTACATTGCAGGCAGTCTCTTGCACTGTAGGCGGCTTCTTTACTCCTGAGCCACCAGGGAAGCCCAGAAGACATCGTAGGGAAACATAACCGGGGGCCTTCAATAAGGGGGGGGTCCCTGAGGAAACAATGTTTGATTTGACATCAACCCTTAAAAAATATTTTCTTGCACAGATAGCTTATTTTTATTGATACAAAATGGTGGTTTCTCACGAATGTTATAGAACTCACTTGGACTTTTGGATATTATGACACCTACCTAGGGTGAATATCTAATGACCAGAAATGTAGGACATAAAGCAGAATAGAAGCTAAATACAGGGAAGGGGCAGGGTCCTGGAGACTGCCTATTGTGCTATGCATTAATTGCTTGATCTTGGGGCAGTCTAAGGGTCTTGAGGGACGAGCTGCAGTGGAAGAGAACCACTGGGGGACTCAGGACCACAGTCATTGACCAACCTAGCTCCTTGATACATATTAATTGCATATCTGTCATATACATACTAAGCTTCTCTATTAAAAGTCTAAATTAGAATTCAAACTTAGCAGGGAAAACAAAATCCCTTACTATTTCAGACAATCTTATTCCACAAAACCAGTCACTAAGACAAACTTAAAATATTTTATGAGAATATGAAGCTGCTGGTTTAACACAGCATTAGTTTTAACAGGTATTTGTTGAGAACTCGTATTTCCCTGTATCATGCTTAACAAGATATGTGATGATATTTAGTTTGCTTGATATACTTAAGGACAGAAATACAATAAAAAAATTTCTGTAATTTCTAAATTTAGGCAGTTTAAGAATATGTCGAATCTTTGGGTTACAATTTCATGTGGTAAGTTCAAATACCTCTCTAAATGTGAGAAACAGAAACATATTTTAGCATATAGTTAAATGTACTGAATTCACAAAGAACCAGCAATTGGCTAGTACAAAAAAGAATTATGTTATTGCTTAAAGGCAAACATAAACTTATCTCTAAAAGAAGAGAATTATGTTATATAATTGAGCTTGTAGGTACCATTGTATGGTCAAGTAGCAAATAGAATTATCTGTTTCAGTGAGGCCTTCATTTTTCATCTGGAGAAATATGATGATGAGGCTGGTTCCCTGGTATTAATAGAAGTTTTACAAAATCCAAACATGTAGTATTTAGGAAACACAAATCTTGCATGGTATTTACTATATAATAAATAAAATCTTATAGCCAAAGCAGAAATGCTTACATGAATAACTGATTTGAACTGAACACTGTAAATTCATAAATTTGCTTTTGTTCTAGCCTGATGCAAAGACTACTGGACCTTTAGTCTAACAGAAATTTGTTTACGTCTTCTTGGCTCCCTTTATTTGAACATGTCAAATAGTTACAAATATTTATTGATAACCTATTATAACTACATAAAATACAATCATTCTGAGAAAAAGGAGAACAAGAAAATTGTTTTTCTTTGACTTTAATCTCAGACTGTGACACAGACTTCATGTCTAAAGGTTGACCTCTGACTCTTTTACATCCTCATATGTCTTTTTCTAAAACAGAATCATTTGATAAGAGCATTATTAAATTTGTATTTTCAGATTAATTTATTAACTCTGATAGGAGTTAATTAAGAGATGTGTGTCACAGATATTCACATCTGAGTTCATATATCTGAAAGTCAAAGGCAAATTTGAAGCAAAGGAAATGCAAGCTATACTTCCAAGTGACTAGGCCCTTCTTAAAATCCAGGAGCCATGTGGGACCAGCCAGGGCCAAGAGTCACTTCCAAGCTTTGCAAGATCTTTTTGGCAACCTGAATATATTGTCAGAGAAGCTTTGGGGACCCCATATTTTTTCAGTAAGCTTCCATTTGGTGGACATATTTTAATTGAGTAGATTGTTTAAACCTGCCTGCTACAAAAATGATCCCCACTCTAACAGATCTGCAGGTCTGGTCCTGGTTTATTAGTAGACTTTTCTTCCCATTTACTAACCGGAAGGCAAAAATGTGTCCTTGCATTTGTCAAATGCTACTGAAGCAGCCCTGTGGAGGGATCTGCATGGGCTTTGGGATCTGACAGGCTGAGATGTGAGCTCCTGCTCCACCATTAGAATAATCTAAATAACCTCTCAGAGTTTCCTTACCTGTGTAATTGGAAAACTTGGACTTCCTTATAGTGTTGTTTGGAGAATGAGGAATAATCTATGCACAGTATTAGGCACACAGTAAGCTCTCAGTAAATAGCAGCTCTTGATTCTGCCTGCTTGTTTTCTGCATTTTGTTTATCTTGTTTTCGTGGTGTCCCTGGCCTCCAGGGGTGAGGGCCAGGGGTGCTGCCCAACATCCTACAATGCACACAATGGCCCTCCTTCCCTCCCCCAACAAAGAATTATCCAACCCAAATGGAAATAACAGTCAGGTTGAAATACCCTGGCCCACACAATAAGCATAATAATTCTAGAGGCAGGGAAACCATAGCAACAGTCAGAATATTCATCACAAATTTCAATCTATCTATGAAGGGAATGAAGGACAATCTTAGAAAAAAGCACAAAATAAGTACAAATAATTATTGAACAGGCTGCCTAAGTAGGTGGGTGTGGGTGGGTGTGTTTGTGATTTATTTTGAGTTTGTCTTTATTTTTTTCTCAACAGTACATCCATTCTTGCTTCAGATAGATATATAGATAGATAGATATAGTGTGATGAAGTCGATGTTCTATACCACCAATCTGGAATAAATGGTAACTTCAGCTGTACAAAGGGAGTTTTCAGTAATGTTCTTAATCTTCAAGACCATGAATTAGGAACCTTGGTATGAGTATGAATACATCTAAAACCTAATCATACTAGACACTTAGAATTAGTATACTTCATGTATTTAGTCACTTCAGTCAGGTCTGACTCTTCATGACCCCATGGACGGGAGCCTGCCAGGCTCCTCTGTCCATAGGATTCTCCAGGCAAGAATACTGGAGTGGGTAGCCATTCCCTTCTCCAGGGAATCTTCCCGAGCCAGGGATCAAACCTGGATCTCCTGCGTTGCAGGCGGATTTCTTTACCAGCTGAGTCACCAGGGAAGCAGTATAACTCATACCTTGGTGTATAAGAAGGGTTAAAAGTTTTAAATAAAAAAGATCTACTGTGTTTAATGTATAAAATTTTTATTAAAAGTGAAAGGTAATCTATGATATAATCCAAACAGGATTAGGACTAAAGTTAACTTTGTTTTGGAGGCTATACCATGCAAACTAACAAGATAAACCACTTTAGAGTTTTATGGACTTTTTGTACTTTTGAAATACCTAGGGACATTGAAAGCAACTAAACTGCTAACTTATTCAAGCTGGCCCTGTCACATCAATAACTTTTGTTAATGTCCTGTAAGTTTTAATTTAAAAAACCTCATTTATATTTTAAAAAAATCATCGCTACTAATTCAGAAAGTCTTATTCCCTTTTGAAGTCAAGTTAGTAAGATGATATAACTCTATTGTATTTGGCTTCTTACCTGAGGAATATTTTCAAACCACTGCAAAAAAGCAAAAAAGCCAACCCAGGGAATGTTTAGAGTAGAAGGAGGTAAAACAATGGGGATAAGGAATTAAGGTCTAGTAGTAATCAGTACTCTACTTTCTCCCAAAATTTCTTAAACAAACAGTGTATGTATTACTGTTCTCTTGGGATATAGAAAATGCCAGAAGATGTATTTAATATATCAAAGGTAATAATTTGATTTATTTTTACACTATTTAATTAATTTACTTGAAATAGGATTTTAGAAAATCATTTATAGAAGTAAATGTCTAATTCTTGTAGACAGAAAAGATGGAGATCATTTAAACTATTGAGAATATGCATTCCCTGCTTACTTTTAAAAAATATATAAAATATATACAGCGTGTTTGATATTAACACTGTATCTATCCCAGGAAAAAGAGAGAATTTGGCCCTCAGGCCACAGGCTTACAATGAATGCCAGTTGGCAGAAAGGAAAATCTCATTTAATCTTGGAGATAATGTACTAAAAAAAACAATAATAATGACACCATAGGCGAGTCCACAGTTGAGAAATCAGGTTTGAAGACACTCAAATTCTGTTTTGGGTTTAGTTTCATGGGAACAGAGGGGATTTAAGGCTGAACATAAAAAGAATCCTGAGTTGAAGAACATGATAGTCTAGTCTTTCTTACTCAGTTACAGAATTTGGTGTGTCTGCATTCCCAGAAACTAGAATCATTGGTTCTTATAAAGTCACAGCATGGCCTCAGAAAAGGTTGAGGAGGAAAGATTGAAATCTACAAGGCTGTAAAGAATGTTATTGACACAGTGAACAAGAAAATCCTTGAACGAGGTGAGTGAATAGCAAATGAAAGGCCCTGTTTTAAACAGCAAGCTACATATTTAAGGATCTCATCAACCCAGGAAAAATAGAAATGTTATATAATTTCTTTTTCATGGTGGTAAACTCATGGTTTATAGATACATAATTAATTTTAGGGAAAACTGAGATAAATGGAGGATTATCTTCCAAGTTGAGGTGAGGAAGGACAAGAATTTCCACTCTGAGGCAAAAAGCATAGAGCTTGGGTTTGGGCAGATGGAGGTTGACTCCTGTGTCTGTCCCCTCAACATGTATTAACTGTTCCCCTACCATATGTCAAGCCACATGTACTACAAAGCTAATAACACAACTTCTGCCTCAAGCAAATCACAGGCTAGTGGGAGCCTAGACAAGTAAACCAATAACTAGAATCATGGACATGTTCCCTGCTACAAATATTTCCTTGAGTTCTTGATGAGATCCTGTGTCCTATTTCCATCTTGTATTCACCCAACCCAGAGTATAACAGCTACTTGCATTGAAAATATCTTTTTTCAGGAAAAGCTGAGGTTTAGATAAGTCTTTGTAACTGTGAAAAAGCCTGAAATCCTGTAGTTCTAACTCTTTAAGGAGGCTGTACCAGAACCGCACAACACTGCTGTCACTGCCACTGACCTCAAACCCGGGCCAGTGGAGATGGATCTCAAAGATGAGCTGTCCAATTTGTTCGAGGACATCTTCCAGAATAAGATTTTCCAAAACTTTCCATTCTGCGCTTTCCAGATCCGCTTTGAGAACATCAATCTGTAACAAAATGATGAAATGAGATTAGCAGAGTCAGTAAACATTGTTAAAAATACCATTGCTATCAGGAGCATCACTATATAGCTGCTTCCCAAAAGAGCAGAAATTTTCAAATTTTAGAGTTAGAAGTCTTTTTCTAATGGCTACTTATGACATGATTTTCTAACCTCACTCCACACACAAATAATGAAATACCAGCCAGAAATCATGATGGACCCTCTTACTCTCTGCCCAGTGGGCATGGATGTCCAAGAAGGAAATGCTGGAGCATGTATATCTCCATGTCTGCAGTTTCTCCCCAGCAACCAATATGCTGCTTAGGGGAACTCAGTCCTGGAAGAATGGTGGCCTGTAAGGAAGGACAGGCAGAGGGCCACTGCCTATAGGAACCACCTCAAAAACCTTGACAATCCCTTTTCCTCTACCAGGTTCACCAGACTGAAAGCTAGGGGAAGAGATCTCAGCTCTCTGAATACTAGACTTGAAAAAAAAAAAGTATTAACAGTATTCCGTGACTTTTTAAAAAAGTATATGCCAATATAGCATTCTAAGAAAAAACTAATAAAACCATTCCCTGTTCATTTAATGAACACAAGTTCACATTCCAGGTGAGATGGGATACAGGATGAAAAGTAGGATGGGAGAGAGTTTGCCATTAAGTTATGAGAAGGATCTCCTTTCTGCTGGCTTTGCACAAAATCCATTAGAATAACAGAATACCAGACACCTCCAGAAAGCAATGAAAGCTAATTACTTAGCAAATGCTTCTATATCCTGGCACTATGCTAAGTGCTTCACCTTGAAATATTCATTTACTCCTCTCAACAATTCTGCAAGGGTGTATCCCTATTTAAAGTTGAGGAAACCAGACTCAGAGAGGAACCCATCCTTGGTCACACAGTTGGAGAGACAGTGGTGAAACATGAACTGAGTCTGTTTATATGGCCCATGTTCTTAATCATGATATGATATTGAATTCCCATAAACCACAAAAGGGAAAGTGGTAAATCAGAGTTCCTAAAAGGCTTTTGGTTTGGAAAATAAGGTGCTATTGGAGAGGGAATAAGGGTCACTGAGTCCAAGTATTGTTATCAGCATCACCATTTTACATTGGAAAGCAGAGCACTGTCCGTCTTAAAGAATCACTTTCCCACACACATTATCTCAGCAAAATAGCCCTCTAGGTAGGCAAGGATTTGGTAAAAAGGACTTTTCTGCTGCCAAGAAATGGGGGAAGGGGTGTATAGGGGATAATTTGACCACACAGAAGAAGGCGGGCACATTCAGACACAAACTGGAATAATTAAGATGGAGGGAATCACTGCAATAGAACAAAGCCCATAGTTCCAAGAGGTGACAACAAAACCCTAAACAGCTCTTCAGGAAGCTGCCAACTGAAGTTGCCAAAGTCCTGCCCACGAAAGCAACTTTTCAGAAGGATAGACAAGAACCAAGACCAGCCCTGCCCCGGCCTCTCCTTTCTCTCACTGAGTGTCTATTTGACGAGCTTCTCATTTGCAGCTGAGACATGAGGCTTCCAGTGGTAAAATTCCTTATGTGATCTCAGAGTCGACTGGAGAAGTTAACATGAAGTTTAGATACAATTGCTCTAAGAAAATGATCTTTGCCCGGCATCCTGAGAACCGTCAGGAAAGGCTTTCACTCTCTTGCCTTGAACAGTACCTCCTGGTCCACAGGGAAATAGTGATGGTAACAACCCCAAGACTATCAAGAGGCCTTAGAAAAGGCTAGATATCCACAAACCAGCTTTTTTTTTTTTTTTTGTTATCAGCATCACCATTTTACATTGGAAAGCAGAGCACTGTCCGTCTTAAAGAATCACTTTCCCACACACATTATCTCAGCAAAATAGCCCTCTAGGTAGGCAAGGATTTGGTAAAAAGGACTTTTCTGCTGCCAAGAAATGGGGGAAGGGGTGTATAGGGGATAATTTGACCACACAGAAGAAGGCGGGCACATTCAGACACAAACTGGAATAATTAAGATGGAGGGAATCACTGCAATAGAACAAAGCCCATAGTTCCAAGAGGTGACAACAAAACCCTAAACAGCTCTTCAGGAAGCTGCCAACTGAAGCTGCCAAAGTCCTGCCCACGAAAGCGACTTTTCAGAAGGATAGACAAGAACCAAGACCAGCCCTGCCCCGGCCTCTCCTTTCTCTCACTGAGTGTCTATTTGACGAGCTTCTCATTTGCAGCTGAGACATGAGGCTTCCAGTGGTAAAATTCCTTATGTGATCTCAGAGTCGACTGGAGAAGTTAACATGAAGTTTAGATACAATTGCTCTAAGAAAATGATCTTTGCCCGGCATCCTGAGAACCGTCAGGAAAGGCTTTCACTCTCTTGCCTTGAACAGTACCTCCTGGTCCACAGGGAAATAGTGATGGTAACAACCCCAAGACTATCAAGAGGCCTTAGAAAAGGCTAGATATCCACAAACCAGCTTTTTTTTTTTTTTTTAATTCAATGGTTCTAAAATCAAAGAGAAAAAGTTTAAAAAAACAAAAACAATCTTCCTTTCTAAAAGGAACTGAGCAAAGGCAGGTTCCATGTGAACATACACAAGGCTGAAATAATTCTCATGACTTGGATACAACAGAGCTAATTCATTCTTTTTTCATTTCTGCTGCCCTGGTGCATCCTTGGCTTTGTTTAATCTGTGAAGTTTTAAGCAGAATATTCCTGAATTAGGATAATTAAGCTGCTGAAAGAAATATTAAATCAAAACTTCACAAAATTTTCTAATTTATACAGAAAATATTCAAAACTCAAACCCAACATTTGTTGGGTCAATTCACACAGTGAAAAACTTCTTAGGTTTCTTTATAGATTCATTTTTCACCATGACTTTCTCTGAGTTTGAATATATTGAATGTGATCTATAAATCAAAGTATTAAAGTGGCAGGATAAAGTTAATCAGCCTAAAATTGACCTAAAAACTATACCGGTGAATTATAGGGGAATATGCCTAACATATTTTTTCCAAACATATTTTTTAAATAAGCTATCAACATACCTAACATATTCGTTCCAAACATATTTTTAAAATAAGCCATTAATCAAAAGTTATAAGCAACTGGGAAAAAATAATTAGGTTAAGTCATAGCAAATATATGCTTTCTTTAGAAATTCAATTTGCATTTACAAAAAGTATTTCAAATATGACCACACTCCCCCGCTCCCTTCTGAATCCAGTGACAGAATTCTCTACTTCAATCAGAATGATATAGGTTGATCTCAATCATGCAACCCAAGGGGAACACAGAACTGAGGAGGACACAGCTCTTTCCTATCTTCCAGCCTCAGAGCACAGATAGCCAAAAGCCGTGAATAAAACATGGTTTTCTCTTCCAGTGTGCTTTTTCTATTTCTTGCCTTTTAGAATGTTCTATTACCACAACAATTTTGCAAGTATGATTTCCATTATTACTGCATAATGCACCCAATATTATTGTTATTATAAGGTGCTAAACATCTCTGAATAAGATATGCCACTTTTAACATTTTAATATCAGCTTTCAACAATTATGGCACTAAAAATCATGCAAATTATTATATTGGAATAATCAAGTGCCAATCCTAATACAGTTAGGTTAAATCAGGTTTCTTGGAAAAAAACAACAAAATGTTAGCTTTCTGTAAACTCTGGAATAACCAAAGACATATTCTCAAAAAAAGCAGATGAAGCAGCCTACTTAGCATAACTTCAGAGGTCCTATCAAAGTTACCTCCTTTTCTTTGTGCCAGAAATATATAATAAATCACCTTTAATAGAACTTTTTGAGGAAATGAGAATTTTAATTTTAACTGGATTAAGATGTGAGGCTATCTGACAGCTCCCTTTTCATGGGCACACGTTTATCCCGTGTTCATCCACCCAGAACTGCAAAGATGAGAGGAAAGGGGGTTGGTGGTAAAATTCATTGGCAATAACTATTAGCTTGCTAGACCTGCTATAAAAAAGTGCCACAGATTGTGTGACTTCAACAACAGAAATTTACTGTCTCAGAGTTCTGTAGGCTAGACGTCCAAAATCAAGGTGACCAACAGTGCTGGTTCCTCTGAGAGCTATAGAGGATGCTCTGTTTCATGGCCGTCTCATAGCTTCTGGTGGTTTGCTGGAAATCTTTGGCATTCCTTGGCCTCTGCATGGCTCTGATCTGTCTTCACAATGTTATTCCTGTTTCTGTGTCCAAATTTCCCCTTTATAAAGACACCAATCATACTGAATTAGGGCCCCACCCTACACCATTATGACTTCACTTAAACTAATTGACGTCTATCTTGACCCTGACCCCATTTCCAGTTAAGATCACATTTTGAGGAATTAGGAGTTGCGACCTCAGCATATGCATGTGGCGGTGGGTGGGGGGAGTAGGGGCTGTGCTACGGCTATAGAGTTTTGGCAAGGTAGTATGTGCTCCGGAGCCCGTTTCCCGGGGCCAGTGCCTCGGGAAAGTGTCTTGTACCACAGATCTAAGCGCTAGCAACTATCTGAGGGAACTGTGGGTGTTATCCTGTTCGTCCCTACCCCAGCCAACACTGAAAGTTCCAATCTTGCTAAGTGTCAAACCCCAAGCAGATCAATAAGCCTCCAAAGCCAATTAAAACCATCATCATAAAACCCCTATGCTTCAATCCCTGGGTCTTTCTCAGCCACACAACGAGGCCCAGCAGGTGCAGCTTGTCTTTGATACCTTTCTGTTCCCTAACTCATTTCTTTCCCTCCTCTAGAACTCCTTCAAGTAGTCAACTTCCTCATGCCTACACTCCCCACCTGAGTCTTCTCCCCTTCAAAAGGGCCCTCCAGCAGGGTAGGCAAATTTTGTCACATGCCTGTAGACTAGGCAGAGGGCAGAAGCGGAAGCTGCAACATCTTTAAAGGCCTGGGTTTGGAAATCACCAGCATCATCTCTGCTGCATTCTACTGGCCAAAGCAAACCACAAGCCTAATTCAGATTCAAGGGGAGATGAAACA